CTCTTTAGAGTGGATAGGTGTTTTTTTTTCTGGACTTGGGCTATTGTTCTGGTGGCTGACAAGAATAGGTAGGAGGCAAGCCTCCACTGATGAGCATACAAACCTGGTATGGAGCAGTGTAGTAGAGCGAACTTGGCTTCTCTAAATATGCGTAAGTAGAATAAAGTAAAGAGGAGGTCAAATACATGGGACCAGAACCTGACTAATTTAGGGCATGTCCACCAAGTATGCAAAACATCCCCTCACTGGCCACAACCCCGAAAGCAGCCGTCATTGTAGGATGGGTTTGCATGGGCGATACGGGCTGGAACCCGGTACCAATGGAGCAACACCTTATATGCTGCCACCAAGGTAGCCATGTTAAATGAGCATCTAGCCACAGAAGACCAGGCCCTACTCCAATCTGCTAGATCTACCTCAATTGCCAGATCCCATTCCCATTGGGTGATATAGGAGCGACCGTTCAGAGAAGCGTAATGGGCTGAGATAAGACCTGAAGAACCAGGGTAATGTTAGCATGTATGCTCAAATGCAGTTTTCCAGAACGGATAAGTGGAAGTCCTGCGCAATGAGGTTACCCAATGTTGAAGTTGGAGATACAAAAATAATTCTGATTGAGGGATATCATGGGACATCCCAGATAGAGGCCCATGTGGGAAAGGTCAAAAAATGTCGGACATGAGAAAATCCATTGGTGACCCACCAAGAGAACGCCCGTGGCTGGTCCAGACCAGGCGGGAAGAGAGGGTTGTTTATAATGGGGAACAAGGGCTGAAAAGATGACATGAGACCACCAGAATACCGCACAGTCCCAGACTTGTAGACTATGATGTATGAGCAAACTCAGTGCTGCTGGGTGGAGGTTAGAAGACAGCCAGAGAAGCATCGACATGGAAACAGGGGCACCATTGGGAAGTTCAAGGAGAACCCATAGGGGGGCATCAACTGAGGCCTTCAGTAAATATATCTGAGCCGCCTGATAGTATTTAGCTATGCTGGTACCCCTAGTTCCCGCTGTAGCCTGTGCACAAAAAGAGTAGCCCTAAAAACCCTAGGGCATTTATTAGCCCAGATAAAATGTAGGATCCTATTCTGGAGCAAACGTAGAAAATGCGATGGGACCCGTACCGGAAGGGTGTGAAAGTAATATAATAGTTTGGGCAGAATGGTCATCTTCAAAGTATAGATACAGCCTATCCAGGACAAATGTGGGAAGTGCCAGGATTGCATAAGAGCAGACAAGGCACGAAGCAATGGGTAATAGTTAGCTTTGAATAAAGAAGAGTAGGAAGCAGTCAGCTGGATACTAATGTAGTCGATGGAGGATGATGTCCATTTGAAAGGGAAGTATGACTGTAGATGGGTGACCAGGTGAGGCTCTAAGGTGAGATTAAGGGCCACAGTTTTGTCTGAATTAATCCATAGGCCTGACATTGCTGAGAAGCGTGAAAGAACTTGCTGCAAGTTGGGAAGAGTGACAAGAGAGTTACTGAGGGTCAGGAGGGATTCATCTGCTAAAAGGTTGAGTTTATACTCATGGCCTACATAGGGAATGCTGGTCACATTGCAGTCGCATTGGATCGTCACCAACAGTTCTAATGCTAAAATGAAGAGGACTGGAGATAGGGGGCACCTTTGTTTTGTTCCTCTAAAAATGGAAAAGAGGGCAGAGAAAAACCCAGTATATTTTACCAAAGCAGAAGGGGCAGAATACAGGGCCTGAATACAGGTTAAAATAGCCTCCCCTAACCCCCAGCGGGATAACCATAAGTTCAAGTAATCCCAAGACATCGAATCGAAGTCTTTGTAAATGTTTAAAGAAAGCAAGATTCTAGGAATTTTCCATTGGTGAAGGAGGTGTATAAAGTGGATCACCTTGCGGATATTGTCGCTAGCCTGCCGCTCAGGAAGCCCCACGGGTCCCCATTGAATTAGGCAATGCAAATAGGTGTTAATATGAAGAAGAATACAAACCTTTCCCAGGATCTTCCAGTCTTCGTTCAGAAGGGAGATAGGCTGAAAGGCCTGTGGTTCCGATATGTTATCTATATTTTTAGGGATCATGGAGATATGGACCTTGAGCCTGTCAGGGGAGGGCAAGGATCCCTATTTCAAGGCATTAAAATAATTAGTTAGATGAGGTGCCAGGAACGTAGAATATTTCTTATAATAAAGGCCAGAAAAGCCGTCTGAGCCTGGGGCCGTGGAGGGCTTCAAGATCTTAATGGCTTGGAGAACCTCAGTCGCAGTAATACTAGTGTGAGAATTGATCTTGACTAACATACAGTATCAAACCTCGCATGTCTAAGGTTCCTTTCAGACAGGGCAGATCCATCAGCGTGATCCGCCTGCTCAGCGGGGGATCTCTCTGCTGATCCCTGCTGAGCAGGGGAATGACAGGTCTCTGTCCACACAACAGGTCTCTGTCTGGACACAACTGCCCACTGATTTCAATAAGATGGTTGAATGAAAATGGACTTCCTGTCCATTTCCACCCGAGTGTCATCCCATCCGTCTATTTTTGTTGTACAAGATTGGATCGAATGCCGGTGGGTGTCAGTGGACTATTGTTTGCTGAAAGCCTTCGGTCCATAGAAGTCTATGGATGGACCGATCGGGTCCACCTGAAAAACAGACAGGCGGACCCCATCGGTCCGCTCGTGTGAAGGGGGCGTTATTGTAAAATTTGAATTGTAAAATGTGCATAAATAAACACATATAGGAGTCTTTGTTGTAAATTAAGGGGTATTTGTATGATTGGAAGTATGTATGCAAAATTAATTTAGGGTGTATATGGATATGGTGGCAGGAAATACTATAGCTTATGCCTTGGCCCAAATCAGCCATATGTCTTTGTTGTGATAAACTTCCTGTCCGGTTGGGTCTTTATTAAAACTATTTTTAAGGTTGTAAAGCATAGTTTGACATCCTGTACATGGGTGCCTGAGCCCATTTAATGTAAATTCTGGCAGTTTTCCCCCTCTTCCAGAAAGCCCAAATGCTGCGCACAGCTTCCCATGAACTCCCATGTCTGTGTACAGCTATAGCGTATGAACGTATGCAAAAAAAATAGAATATTTATGTTGAGCGTGCTCAGACAGCATTGTGCAAGAATCCTTTGACTGTACACAATGGAAACAGCTGTAGAGAGTTTTCTTCAAAACAAAACTTTTCAGTCAGCTGCCATTAGACAGAAGATGTACAGAACTAATTATTTTATTGATGCAACATTAGAAAGATCATCAGACCAGCCAATCAAAACCCCCCACCCCAGTGTTAATAAAAAAGGAAGTAAACTGTATATGAAGGGAAAGGCTACTTGAGATATACAGCATAGGTAAAGAGTATATGGTAATAAGTATAGAAGACCATACATAGGTTGGGCACAGGGGCGGACTGACAACTTATGGGGCCCCCGGGCAATAGGGGGATCATGGGGCCTCTGTGTCCTTGCCCAAACTCAAAAAAGCCTATGAAAAAGGTACCGGGGGCATCTCATGGGGCCCCCTACTGACCCCCCCAGGCCCTCGGGCAGTGCCCGAGTTTCCAAATGGTCAGTCCGCCCCTGATTGGGCATATATGCTTGGTGTGTGCAATGTGTGTATCTGTGCTATAATTCTGAAAAGAAGATCCTAGAATTCTAAAGAGACTCATAGGGCTGGGTCTATAGATCCTTGTACAATAAACGCTACACTCTCTGGAAAGTGACCGGTGGCTGTACACCCTGAATATATGGGCTGAATAATATTTTAACTACTCCTGCAGTCATAAATATTATCACATGGATTGCCAAAATAAAATTTGTGCCAGTACATCCTCATGTGTCAGAGATAGGGGATGAGGGATTGGTAGCATAGGGGGTACAAAAAGTACATCTTTTTTTAACTTGCTCCCCTTCCCATCCACTTTGTCCCCCTCCCCTGTCCATCTACAGAGTATATAATAAACTTTCTACAGACCTCAGATCAGCCAGTGTCCCTCCTCCCCTCTCCTCCTCCTGTGTTTGTAAACAGAGCTGAGGAGGAGGGCAGCTTTGGGTCTGTTCTGCTGGGAGTGAGACGGGCCGAGGAGGGGAGACATTCAGGAGATACACGAGCAGACTTGTCACAGGTTAGCATGCCCCTTCCAATGTTCCGGCACAATCCATTCTGAATAATGTGTCCGGGTCTCAGGCAGACAGAAACCCGTACACATCATTCAAAACACGGACTGTCTGAGTGAAACCCAGACAGGTGGCAACCCTAGTCTGAGGAAAGTCTTTACAGTACCTTGTCTGGCAATTTTCATCTCTACTTTATGTACCTTACCATCATCACTAGGAATGGTCTTTACAATGAGCCCAATGGGCCATTCAATTTTTGCGCAGAACAAAATCTCCAACTTGGAGATTAGGGTTCAGACATTGCCACTTTCTATGTCCTTGCAGAAGAGAAAAATACTCCATCTTCCAAAGATTCCAGAAGCAGTTGGTGAGGTGTTGTACTCGCTTTCATTGATCATGGTATAGATTTCCTGCTTTAAAGTCTCCAGGTGGAACAGGAACAGACCCAAGCTTCTGGGTAAGAAGAGTAGCTGGTGTAAGGATGGTGGGGGGACTCTGGATCTGTAGACACTGGAGCAAGTCGTCTGGAATTGATTATAGCAGACACATCTGCCAAAAGGTTGGTTAAACTGGCATGAGTAAGCCTTGTGGAGAACAAGTCCATTTACATAGAGTCCAGTATTCTATGTGTGATGCCTATCATTCTCTCCCATGAGCCACCCATGTGGGAAGAATGAGGAGAACTGAAAATCCATGTACAGCCCTTTTCGGCTAAAAAGTTCTGGATTGGCCTAGAATTGAGCTGTAACTCTTGACAGGCTCCAGTAAAGTTAGGTCCACAGTCAGATCTTAGCAACTTCACTGACCTGGTGGCATGATGTGAAGGAACATAATGTCACTGTTCGGCCTTAAGGATTTTCTGATTCTTTCTACATGGTTGCTGACATAGACATAGAAGCAGGGGCGGGACTGACCATTAGAGCACTCGGGAACTGTCCGAGGGCCCAGGGTCAGTAGGGGGCCCCATGAAATGCCCCTGATACCTTTTATAGGATTTTTTGGGTGTGCTTTGAGTGTGGTCAAGGACACAGAGGTTCCATGATCCTCTATTGGGATGGGGGGCCCCATGAGTTGTCAGTCCTCCCCTGCATAGAAGCGTTTTGTTTGATTGTACATGTAGACCAAAAAAACTTTGCTATCTGTGTAGAATTTGATGTCATCTATCTGAATGTCTAGCTCACACAGTATAAAATCTACAATTTCTACAGCTAGCACAGTCCCACAAAGTTCAAGCCTGGGAATTGTGTGCTCAGGCCTAGGTGCTAACTTAGCTTTGCCAAACAGAAACCCTACATTGGTTTAATTGAAAAGAGTTTGTTACCTTCAGGTAGGCTACAACTGTTATGGCCTCAGTGGATGCATCTGAGAAGATGTGAATTTCTTTTCTCTGACATGGCAGCAAGGGAAGCTGAAGTGTAGTAGCGTGGTATGTCAATTTCACCTAAGGCATGTAAAGATTGTTTCCAGTACTCCAGTTTTAAATGTTTGTCTGTTGGTAGTAGAGCATCCCAATCTTTAATAGTCTTTGATAGCTAGGTTAATAAGAATTTACCTTGTATGGTGATGAGAGCCGAAAATCCCAGTGGATCGTATAGACTGTTTACCATTGACAAAATACCACGTTTGGTAAATGGCTTGTCTGCAGAGCTGACTTGAAAACCGAAGGTGTCTTTTATTAGGTTTCACAGTAAGCCCAGACTTCTCTGAACAGAAGGCATGTCCATTCCCAGATTTAAATATTTAAATCTTGTGGCGTGATCACCAGGCTGAAAGGCTTTCATCACAGCAGCACTGTTTGAGGCAATCTTATGGAGTCTGAGGTTGGCCTCAGAAAGCATACCTTGAGTCCTTTGGACCAAGTCTATGGTATCTTCATCTGTTGGTAAAGATTTGTGTCCATCATCCACATAGAAGTCTCTCTGAATGAAATTTCGATCATCTGCACCATACTCCTTTTTGCCATCAAGAGCAGTCCTTCGTAGACCATATGTTGCAACAGCATGTGAGGGGCTGTTTCCGAAGACATGTACTTTCATGTGGTATTCAATCACTTGATTGTTTATGTTTTTATCATGGTGCCACAGAAACCTTGCCAGCTTCCTGGTGGGGTTTGGCTAGGATCCCTCAAGAGTGCAAGCCAAACACTTCTCAGATCCACCCTCTGCCTCTAGGGCCTTCCTCCAAAGCCCTAGAGCAGGAAATTCCAGAGGGCTGGCCTCTCAGCTCCTGACTAAGATTTGACTTTCTGGCTCTTACACCCAGGTTGCTACTCAGCCCTCCTCACTGACAGTAGCTCCCACTAGCTAAACTAGGAGGGTGCTACAAAAGCAATGGAACATTTGTTCAATGTCAGCAATTATGGCAACTGTGAAGCCACAAGCTGCCACAGCCGGGTGCTCACTTCGCATGTGCGAGTAGCTCTGCACTCAATTTTGGGTACCCGCTCCCCAAAAGTGCCAATCCTTAACAGGGAGCGGGGGACCAGTCCTTAAAGCGGAACGTCCCCTTTTGGGTGGAGCTCCACTTTAATCTTCAATTCACAGTAATATGAACATTCAGTATGGACTGTGCATTACATTATATTTTTACACAACAAGTGTAACAGCACAATAGGGGAATCAGGACCTCCTTCCTGGTAATCCCCCTAGTGATGCATCCTAGAATTCTATTCGCTTTCCCCACTGCCTGGTCACACTGCTCATTTTGCAGTCATCTGAAATAAGTACCCCCATATCCTTTTCTTTTGCAGTGCTGCCCAACACTGCACCCCCAATGTTATACTCTCTCAAGGGATTCTTTTTCCTTAGGTGCATTGTTTCACATTTAGAAACATTGAACTGCAGTTCCACGTCTTTGACCAGTCTTCCAGCAATGCCAAATCATGTTCCATGCTACAGACACCTCCAGGGATGTCAACCCTATTAAAAAGCTTTGTATCATCAGAAAAAAAACATACCTTATCAACAATTCTTTAGTTATATCGCTTACATATAGATTCAATTAAACAGGACCTAATACAAAATCTTGTAGTACACCACTAGTGACTGGTCTCTGTTCTAAATGAACCCCATTTACAACCACATTCTGGTATAGATCCTTTAGCCAACTGCATATCCACTGAACCACCCAAAGTTTAAGTCCTAGTTTGTAGAATTTGTGTATTAGTTCAATTAGTGGAACTGTATCAAATGCCTTGCTGAAATTAAGATATTCTATGTCTGTAGTAGCAATTTCCACAAAATCAGATAAAACTCCAGACACGGACTTCTGAAGGAAGCAACTGATTTATTAAAAACAGCGCTGTTTTTACTCAACAGATGGCTTGTGCCCTCATCTGCTAAGTGAGTTATAGAAAACTTCTTACAAGCGTATATACCAACGATTACGTCACAAGGCATACATTCCTTTCCTACTTTCTATACACTTAAAAGGCTTCCTAAACTCTGCAGAATTACCTTGGCCAGCAGCTAGAGAAAAGAAATACCAGCTACCGACCTGTACACAGAAAATAAGGGAGGGGGGGAAGATGAGCCAAAAACCTTGCTTCTACAAACACAGGCTGCTAGAAGTGTTAGAGTTTAACCGTTTCAATACCGTGCAATTTTACACCTTCCTGCAAAGGCCATTTTTCAGGTTTCAGCGCTCTCACAGTTTGAATGACAATTGCGCGGTCATACAACACTGTACCCAAACTAAAATTTTTATCATTTTCTTCACACAACTAGAGCTTTTCTTTTGGTGGTATTTAATCACCGCTGGGGGTTTTTATTTTTTGCTAAATTAACAAAAAAAGACCAAAAATTTTGAAAAAAAAACACATTTTTTCTTTCTTTCTGTTATAAAAGTTTACACAAATAAATAATTGTTCTTCATAAATTTAGGCCGAGATGTATTCTGCTACATGTCTTTGGTGAAAATAACCCAAATTAGGATGTATTTTTTAGTTTGTAGGAAAGTTATAGAGTTCACAAACTATGGTATAGATCTGAAAATTGATCAATCCTGAAGTACTGACAGCCAATCTAATTTCTTGAGGTCCAAGAATGTCAGAATAGTACAGATATCCCCAAATGACCCCTTTTTGCAGAGTAGACAGTCCGAAGTACTTCATAAGAGGCATGGTGAGTTTTTTGAAGTTGTATTTTTTTGTCATAATTTTTCGGAAAATGAAAAAATTAAAAAAAATTATTTTCACAATATATTTTTTTTTTTTACATACTGTCACCAGTGCAGTACAGCGTCATCATATAACTGGCATGGCGGTGAACAGGGACACTGACTGGTGACAGTATGAAAAAAAAAATATATATATATATATATATTTTTTTTTTTTTTATTATATTTAATTTTTTATTACATTTTTTTTTATTTTTTTTTAAGATTTTTTTTTTATATTTTACTATGACCAAAGTATGGTAACATTGTACTACTTTGGGGAAGTGATCAGTATTTTTTTTTTTTACACATTTGCTTATAGCAAAGAATTACTTTGCTATAAGCAAGCATTTACCTGAATGAAATCGATTCATTCAGCTTTTTTTTTTTTTTTTTTTTTTGTGCTTAGCTGTGATTTGGTAACAGCTAATCACATGACATGTGCATGTGATTAGCTGTGACCATTCACAGCTAAGCACTAGTATAAAATGGATGGCATCATGAATGAAGCCATCCATGTATACAACTGTCATGTGACCTGCTGTGATTGGTCACAGCAGGTCACATGGTACCAGCAACGGGAGCCGGTACTCGGATCTGTCATCGGCCGTGTCCGAGGTGCACGGCCGGTGACAGATCGCACTGCTGCGCCGCTCTGCATTAGCGCAAACGGCGCATGTGTGGGAGCACGCCAAATGGCGTGCACCGGAATGGAGAGACACATCTGAAGCCGCCAAACGGCCATTGGCCGGGCGGCTAATGGTTAAAAGGGGAACTCTACAACATCTGGATGCTACCATATGTCCACAACAACACCCTGGTCCAAAACATTTTTTATATGGTTAAAAAAAAGTCAATCAGATTAGTCTGACATGATCTGACCTCAGTAAACTCATGCTGCTTTGGGTCCAGCACGTTGTGTATTTTTAAGTGACCAATGATCCTTCTTTTCGGGGGGGATTCCATTAACTTGATTAAAACCGATGTTAAACTCACTGGCCTGTAATTGTCAGCTTCTACCTTGCTGCCCTTCTTGTGGATAGGTATAATATTAGCTGTCCGCCAGTCATGGGGAACTTCTCCTGTTAGAAGAGATTGATTAAAAAGATCTTTTAATGGTCCAACAACTATACTTTGAAGTTCTCTTAGAACCATCAGGGCCCATTGGTTTATTAAACTTTAACTGAGCCACTTCCTCTGCTACCTTTATCTCCATAAATCCTAAAAATGAACTCTAATTACTAGAACCAATATGATTCCCCATCTTGTTATTGCTAATACAATTTATTTCTGAGAAGACTGAACAGAAGTAATTGTTTAAATTGTTTGCTACATCCAGGTCTCCCTCAACATAAGTTTTGTGTCTTGCTTCCTCTATGTAGATCTATATAGATGTTTAGTTATCACTAAACGGATCGTCAGCAGATCTTTAGTTAGACCGCATTTAGAATACTGTGTCCAGTTCTGGAGATTTCTACTTACAAAAAGAGTGAAGGGATTGGGGGGGTTGGTCAAACATACCTTTAAGTACATAAAGGGTATGAATAAGGTTCCGGAGATCACAAAGGGACAATTTAGCAGCAGCCAAGTTCAAAACTAACCTTAAACTGGGTATACGCATATCGAAATTCATCTGGTTCAGCAGGAAACCAACTTTGGAAAGTATTATCTTTATGAAAAGAGTAGTTGATGCGTGGAATAGACTTTCAGCAGAGGTAGTGAGTCAAACAAGTGGATTTGTACATGCTTGGGACAAACATAGATCTACACTCACTCAAAAAAAGGTTAAAAAGATGGGGCTCAATAAACCACTTGGTCTTTTTTCTGCCATCACTCTTCAATATGCAGGAAAATCTGTTCTGTTTTTTTAAAGGCAAAAAATATGGTCCTTTAAATGTGCACTATTCCTCTTCGTTTAATAATCAACAACTCATCTCTTTATCATCCAAATACATGAATTACGTATTCTATAAGTGTGACTGAGATGATGCACTGACTAAAAGTGATTAAACTTGCAATCTGCATAATGTAAATTGATCAGTAATTAGGATTACATTTCCCCTTATCAAGGTGGGAGGCAGACTGCACTTCTTCTGCTCCGCAGGAGCTGTCAGTACTTTTTTGAGTGTCTGGAGTAAAGAGACTTCACTTGAATGTGACATCACTCCTTGCTCTTACAGTATACAGTGGTTATAGAGAAGAATTACCCCTCCTTTAAAATAATTAAAATTTTTTTGCTTTGCAGTCTGAAATGAAGACAGACACAGTTTTTGATTTATCAAGATGTATTTACACAGTGCAAATTATAACATCCAAGTGAAAGATATAACACCAACATATCAGAAAAAATGTAAACGTAATCGCTGAATTGGAAAAAGGATCACCCCTGCCTAAAAATGAAAAAAAACAGAGTCAGGTGTAGCTAATCACCTTCTCAATGGCAAACAAATCCATTGGACTTTGAACTGTGATCAGCTATGGTCATTTTGATTAGCTCAGCATAAAAAGAGATTTCCTGGAGCATTTCAGTCCCTGGTGGTGTTACTGAAGCAAAAATGAACTATGGGTTGCAAAGCACTGTGTGAAGATCCCTGGAATGAAGTTGTTGACAGACACAAGTCAGGAGATGGGTACAAAAACATTTCAGAGGTTTTATCAATGCCTAGAAGTATAGTGAAGTCTATTATTAAGAAATGGAATGTATTTGGTACAACTAGATGAAAGAGCTAGGAGGAAACTGGTCAGAGAAGCTACCAAGAGGCTACTGCAACATCAGGAATTGAAATGAAACAGTTGTAGGAATTGATGACAAAGAGTGGTCATTGTGTGCATGTGACAACAATATCACAAATTATCCACAAATGTGCCTTGTATGTGCCTTGAAGATTCTAATGGCACATGGAAAACGTGTTATGGTCAGATGAGACTAAAACTGAACTATTTGGCCTCAACACTAAAAGATATGTCTGACAAGAATCCAGTCCAGTTCACCATCCAAATAACATCATTCCTACAGTAAAGCATGGAGGTGGTTATATCCTGTTGGGGGGGGGGGGGGGGGGGGTTCTCTGCAGCAGGAACTGGGGCACTTGTCAGGATAGAAGGAAACATGGATGGGGCATGGATGTTCTTATTATTATACAGGATTTATATAGCGCCAAAAGTTTGCTCAGCGCTTTACATTAAGGTGGGAGACAGTACACAAGACAGTACAGTAACAATACGATTCAATACACGAGGGGTTCGAGGGCCCTGCTCCTTGGGGCTTACAATCTAGGAGGGAGGGGATAGTATTGTACAGGAGGAAAAAGCTGTGGGGGATGAAATGGTAGGAAGAGTGGAGGAGTTCAGTAATTAGCTGAGGGCGGGATAGGCTTCCCCGAAGAGATAGGTTTTCAGAGTGCATCTAAAGGTGAGCAGAGCAGGTGATAGTCTGATGGATTGGGGTAGGGAGTTCCAGAGGATGGGGGAAGCCCTGGAGAAGTCCTGGAACCGGGCTTGGGAGGAGGAGACCAGGGAACTAGAGGGTAGGAGGTCTTGTGAGGAGCAGAGAGTACGGTTTGGGTGGTATTTGGAGACAAGATCGGTGATGTAGTTTGGGGCAGTATTATGAACAGCTTTATACGTCAGTGTTAGGGTTTTGAATTTTATCCGTTGGGCAATCGGAAGCCAGTGGAGGGATTGGCAGAGGGGGGTGGCAGATACGGAGTGGTTAGTAAGGTGGATGAGTCTGGCCGCAGCATTGAAGATAGACTGTAGCGGGGATAGCCTGCGGTGAGGTAAGCCGATGAGGAGGGAGTTACAGTAGTCGAGGTGTGATATAATGAGGGAGTGAATGAGTTGCTTAGTGGTTTCCGGGGATAGGAACGGTCGTATTTTGGAGATGTTCCGGAGGTGGAGTCTACATGAGTTTGTCAGCGATTGGACCTGGGGCTGGAAGGACAGATTGGAGTCTAAGATGACACCTAGTACTCTGGCTTGAGGGGTGGGACTGATGGTAGTGTTGTTGGTCTTGATGGAGAAGTCAGGGGGGGGCACAGGCTGGGGGGAAAACTAGGAGCTCAGTTTTGGAAAGATTTAGTTTGAGGAAGTGGAGTGAAATCCAGTCTGATATGTCGCTCAGTAGGCTTGTGATATGGGCGGAGATTGAGGGGGTGAGGTGAGGGGTAGAGAGATAGATGCATAGAGATGGTAGTTGAAGCCGTGAGAATGTATCAATTGCCAAGGGAGGAGGTGTAGATGGAGAAGAGAAGGGGCCCGAGGACAGAACCTTGAGGGACCCCAACCAAGAGGGGTAGTGAAGAGGAGGTGGTAGTGTTATAGGTAACACTGAAGGAGCGCTGTGCTAGGTAGGAAGAGAGCCAGGAGAGAGTGGAGTTTCTGAGGCCAAGAGAGTGTAGTTTTTTGAGGAGGAGGGGGTGGTTAACTGTGTCGAAAGCCGCAGATAGGTCGAGGAGTAGGAGCACTGAATAGTGGCAATTAGTTTTGGCTGTTTGGAGGTCGTTGGTGAGTTTGAGTAGGGCAGTTTCGGTGGAGTGTAGGGGCGGAAGCCAGACTGTAGGGGGTCAAGGAGGTTGTTGTTGGTGAGATGGGAAATCAGGCGATTATAGACTAAGCGCTCTAGGAGTTTGGATGTAAATGGCAGCAGGGAGATGGGTCTTAGGTTGTTTGGGTCGGTGGGATCCAGGGAGGGTTTTTTAAGTATGGGAGTGATGTGCGCGTGCTTTAGAGGGGAGGGGAAGGTGCCAGTAGAGAGGGAAAGATTAAAGATGTGGGTGAGGGAGCGTAGGATGGAGGAAGAGGGTGATCGTAGGAGTTGTGAGGGGACAGGGTCAAGGGGGTAGGTGGTGAGGCGGGCTTCTGAGAAGACCTTAGTGACCTCTTCAGTAGTAGCTCCAGAGCTTAGAAAATGAGGTGAAGCGTCACTTTGCAAAGAATACCTAATCACATGCAAGGAAAATAAAAAACAACATTTTTGCTTGCATATGATTGGATTATGAAAGTTAGCAGAGCCTCTGCTCATTTACTAAGCTCTGGGGCAACTGTACTTGCAGAGTGCATAGTCTATTTGCCTTTAGTAAATCAACCCCTATGTTCGAGGTGTGACAATGCATCGTGGTAAAGTTTAAATAGTGGATGATATGGCCATAACACTCTGTGTAAAGCCTGGTACAGCAGTAGATTAACCACCTCCCGCCCGCCATATAGTAATATGACGGGCGCAAGGTGGTTATCTCTCGTTCTGGGAGGACGTCATATGACGTCCTCCCATTCTTACTGCCATTGCGAGGCTCAGGGAGCGCGCAGCGCGGCAATCGGCGGTGCACTGTGTCCCTCGGACACAGCGGATCGCCGATCACGGAAAGAGTCGAAGATGTCGGCTCGGTCATGTGATCAGCTGTGTCCAATCACAGCTGATCACATGTAAACAGGGAAATGCCGGTTATCGGCATTTCTCTCCTCTCGAGCTGTCATGCTGACAGCTCGAGAGGAGAGGAGAGCCGGTAATCGGCTTTTCGCGGAGGGGACATGTACACTGATCATCAGGGCACTGATGATCAGTGTGCCCTGATGATCAGTGTAGCCCCAGCAGTGCCACCTGTCAGTGTCCATCAGTGCCTTATGTCAGTGTCCATCAGTGCCTTATGTCAGTGCTCATCAGTGCCTCGTGCCAGTGCCCATCAGTGCCTACCAGTGCACATCAATGCCACATATCAGTGCCCATCTGAGCTGCCTTTCAGTGTCACCCATCAGTGCCAGTCAGTGCCACCTATCAATACCAATCAGTGCCACCTATCAGTGCTGCCAATCAGTGCCACCTATCAGTGCCAATCAGTGCCGCCTAACAGTGCCAGTCAGCGCCGCCTAACAGTGCCATATATCAGTGCCATGTATCAGTGCTGCCTTTCAGTGCCCATCAGTGATGTCTTGCAATGCCCATCAGTGCCTCCTCATCAGTGCCCATCAGTGCCACCTATCAGTGTCCATCAGTGCAGCCTATCAGTGCCCATCAGTGCAGCCTCATTAGCGCACATCAGTGAAGGAGAAAAATCACTTATTTACAAAAACTAAGAAAAAATTTTTTTTTTCAAAATTTTCAGTGGTTTTTGGTTTAAGAAGAAATAAAAAAAACCCAGAGGTGATTAAATACCACCAAAATAAAGCTTTATCTGTCACAAAAAATTATAAAAATTTCATATGGGTACAGTGTTGTTTGACCGCGCAATTGTCATTCAAAGTGCGACAGCGCTGAAAGCTGGAAATTGCCCTGGGCAGGAAGGGGGTATACTGTAAGTGCCCTGTAGGCTAGCGGTTAAAGAGGCACTGGTACTGAAACGGGAAAGGTAACCAATAGAGAGGAGAGGCAGCTGCAGATTGGTTAGTATGGTAGATGAGTCTAGCAGCAGCAAACTTCATAGACTGAATGGAGTCATCCAGTGCAAAGGTGGATCAACAAGACGGGAGTTGAAATAGTATACAGCAGGGGCGGACTGACCATTTGGAAACTCGGGCACTGCCCGAGGGCCCGGGGTCAGTAGGGGGCCCCATGAGATGCTCCTGGTATCTTTTTTCATAGGCTTTTTTGAGTTTGGGCAAGGACACAGGAGCCCCATGATCCTTTATTGCCCGGGGGCCCCATGAGTTGTCAGTCCGCCCCTGGTATACAGTAGGTGGGAAATATCTAGGAAGGTGTTATTAGTTAAGAATGGGCAAATTTTGGAAATGTTACAGAAGTTAAGATGACAAGATTTAGCCAGTGATTGAATGTGAGGCCTGAAGGAGAGGTCAGAGTATAGGATTAGCACCCTTGCATGCGTGGAGGGACGGATATACAGTGGGGATCGAAAGTTTGGGCACCCCAGCTAAAAATTTGTATTAATGTGCATAAAGAAGCCAAGGAAAGATGGAAAAATCTCCAAAAGGCATCAAATTACAGATTAGACATTCTTTATAATATGTCAACAAAAGTTAGATTTTATTTCCATCATTTACACTTTCAAAATAACAGAAAACAAAAAAAAATGGCGTCTGCAAAAGTTTGGGCACCCTGCAGAATTTATAGCATGCACTGCCCCCTTTGCCAAGCTGAGACCTGCCAGTGTCATGGATTGTTCTCAATCATCGTCTGGGAAGACCAGGTGATGTCAATCTCAAAGGTTTTAAATGCCCAGACTCATCTGACCTTGCCCCAACAATCAGCAACATGGGTTCTTCTAAGCAGTTGTCTAGAAAACTGAAACTGAAAATAGTTGACGCTCACAAAGCTGGAGAAGGCTATAAGAAGATAGCAAAGCATTTTCAGATGTCAATATCCTCTGTTCGGAATGTAATTAAGAAATGGCAGTCATCAGGAACAGTGGAAGTTAAAGCAAGATCTGGAAGACCAAGAAAAATATCAGACAGAACAGCTCGCAGGATTGTGAGAAAAAACAATTCAAAACCCACGTTTGACTGCACGATCCCTCCGGAAAGATCTGGCAGACACTGGAGTTGTGGTACACTATTCCACTATAAAGAGATACTTGTACAAATATGGTCTTCATGGAAGAGTCATCAGAAGAAAACCTCTTCTACGTCCTCACCACAAAAATCATCGTTTGAACTTTGCAAATGAACATATAGACAAGCCTGATGCATTTTGGAAACAAGTTCTGTGGACCGATAAGGTTAAAATTTAACTTTTTGGCCGGAATGAGCAAAGGTACGTTTGGAGAAGAAGGGGCACAGAATTTAATGAAAAGAACCTCTGTCCAAGTGTTAAGCATGGGGTTGGATCAATCATGCTTTGTGGTTGTGTTGCAGCCAGTGGCACAGGGAACATCTCACGAGTAGAAGGAAAAATGGATTCAATAAAATTTCAGCAAATTTTGGATGGTAACTTGATGCCATCTGTGAAAAAGCTAAAGTTAAAGAGAGGATGGCTTCTACAAATGGATAATGATCCTAAACACACCTCGAAATTCACGAGGGATTACATCAAGAGGCGTAAACTGAAGGTTTTGCCGTGGCCTTCACAATCTCCTGACCTCAACATAATTGAAAATCTATGGATAGACCTTAAAAGAGCAGTGTGTGACAGACAGCCCAGAAATCTCAAAGAACTGGAAGACTTTTGTAAGGAAGAATGGGCAAACATACCTCAAACAAGAATTGAAAGACTCTTGGCTGGCTACAAAAAGCGTTTACAAGCTGTGATACTTGCCAAAGGGGGCAGTACAAGATATTAACTCTGCAGGGTGCCCAAACGTTTGCAGACGCCATTTTTTTGTTTTCTGTTATTTTGAAAGTGTAAATGATGGAAAAAAAAATCTAACTTTTGTTGACATATTATAAGAATGTCTAATCTGTAATTTGATGCCTTTTGGAGATTTTTCCATCTTTCCTTGGCTTCTTTATGTACATTAATACAAATTTTTAGCTGGGGTGCCCAAACTTTCGATCCCCACTGTATGTGTTTTCAGCTTGATGGTAAAGTTGGGGGAGGGGGATTAGGGGGAGGAAATAATACAAGCTCTTTTTTTGACAAATCAAGTTTGAGGAATTTGTCAGTCTGTAAATTAGTGATGTACAAGAAGCGATTGAACGGATTAACTGAGGAGTAGAGAGATAGATTTGGGTGTCATGGACATAGAAATGGTTTTGGAATTCGTGGCTCAGGGAAGAGGTGTATAGAGAGAATAGAAGGGGCCCAAGGACAGAGCTTTGGGCATGTGCTTCAGTGTCTTGGCTTCAAGCTTAGAAAGAGCACAAGGTGAAGAGTGCAATAACTGTGAGAAGGTAGGACTGAGGGTGATATATATATAGACTGTGAGGGTGTAGAGGGGGAGAGGAACAGGAGTTTGAGAGGAGAACTGGGTGTATGAGGATTTTAGCACTCATTGTAATTACCTTGGTGATCTTTTTGTGTGGTTCTCTTTGGTACCAGTAGATGTACCCTTAAGTCCTTATTTTATTTATGAAGGATCCTTTTAGAGAAGGTCTTGTTCTCTTGTTACTGGCTCTAGGGGGAGCCTAATGTGTCCCTTGCTGGGGGGTATCAGGCACCATCTTGGGGAGGTCTGTATCATAGTTAGACATCAAACTCCCATAAGAATTTGGTGACCATTTTTGAAAATGTGATATAAAAGTTCTGAACCTGCATCACAGAAGAGGAAAGATGCTGCTAAGTACCCAGAAAGGAGGGATTACATTGTCCTTGGTGATACTGCTGAAAGCCAGAATGTAAAAGTTGAAAGGTTAGACTGTGCGTTTCTCTTCAGGGGACTGCTGGGACTACTCCCCACTGGAAGTGGGACAGGAGGAGGAGTGTTTGTCCAGCAGTATAACTGAAGAGGGGCCACCCTTAACATATACTGGAATTGGGACTGTGTCATGCACTGCAAGTACCCTTTTGTGAAGAATGTCCCCTATTTGGATGTTAAAGTTAACAGCAGAAGAAAGCTTACTTGTAACCCCTAAATAGAGAGACTAATTGAGCACATGAGTCAACTTTAAAAGAGAAAAGAGAGTTTTTGTTCTGGTTCTTATTCATATACATGTATGCTGAAAGAATTGTTATTGAAAACTTGGTTGAATAGCATTTCAGCTCAGGGTGGAATCTTTGACTCTTTAAGGGGTGGAAGAAATTGGGTGAAAGTTACTTTAGTAAGTTTAACAGAGTTTAATAAGCCTATCACTCTGAAATACAGAGGGGTTAGGGCAAAGGATACCCCAGAAGAAAAAAAATGCAGACTCTGTATCCTACTCAAAGTCAAAACAGAAAAATGACCTTTAAGCCAAACCAGTACTCTGTATTCTTCAGATTGTAGAACAGCTTCAATGCAGCACTTGTACTCATATGCGTACTTCTTGAATGAGCCACAGGACCATCCTGCAATGTCCACAGGAATATAGGGGCCCCCTTGTTAAAGGAGGCTTCCAGATCTCGATACATCACCCCCCTGCAGACCCCCACAACCACAGCCCAGGGTTGTGGGGTAGAGGCCCTTGTTCCCAACAGGCTCCAACCCCAAAGCACCCCCCCCTGTGTTGAGGGTATGTGGCCTGCTACTGTTCAGGGGGCCTTTCCTGACCTGCCAGGCCTGTGCTTGGACCAAGGGTCTGGTAGGAATTTAGGGGGGACCCCATGCTTTTTTTCCACCATTTTGTGGAGGTGGGGTTTCCCTTAAAAGTCCTACCAGGCCTAAAGGGCATGGTAGGGCTTTTAGGGGAAACCCCATGTACTTAAAAAACAAAAAGTACTGTGGGGTCCCTCCTAACCTTCCTACCATTCCTAAAGGGTTTGGTATGGATTAGGGGGGACCCTATGCTGTTTTTGTTTTGTTTTTTAATAACAATGTCATTTAAAAAAAAAAAATGTCAGTCCTGCTGCAGCAGGTTCTATACATCGTACAGATGTGCAACTTTGCAGGTACTTCAAGAGACCCCCCCACCTCAAATATTTATATCCTTCCCTTACACGCACCACTCGCAATAAACCTCCTAGAGCTTGGGCAGGGAGACATAAATATTCATAACTCAGTTTATTATATCTTCTTACAATATGCCAGGGATACTCTGCAGCAGCAGTTAACACTGAGCTTAGGGAAAACCAATAATATTATATTTCACTAGCAAATGTCGATCCAGGTGAAGTCTGTAAATGCAGCTTCTGGTCTCAATAAAACATAGGAGCTCAGGAAATGGTCAGAATCAAATACAGCATTTCCTCTTCATTGGCAAAAAAGATAATGAAAATAAATTATGTATGAAAAAGCAGAGTTATTAATATTATTTCTTTATTTTCTTGAATTCTTTAAAATATAAAATTAATAAGCAGGGGCGGACTGACCATTTAGTCACTCGGGCACTAACTGAGGGGCCCATGAGGGGCCCCATGAGATGCCCCTGGTACCTTTCATAGGCTTTTTTGGTGTGGTTTGAGTGTGGGAGAGGACACAGGGGCCCCATGATTTCCTATTGCCCGAGGGCCCCATGAGTTGTCAGTCTGCCCCTGTGAATAAGTCTCCTCTGGGTACTTCCATTTCCTCTTCTAGATTTTTTTGGCTTCTGATCTAATTGGTTTGTGTGTGTGTGTGTGTAATGGGGCCCTTCTCCCACTGACCACCAGTCTAAAGAGACCTTTCTCTTACTGACCACCAATGCAATGCTGCCCTTCTTCTACTAACCACCAGTGCAAATGGACCCTGCTTCCAATGACTACCAGTGAAATGAGGCCCTTCTCCCACTGACCACCAACTTAAACTGGACCTTCTCCCACTGATCATCATTCTACTCCATTGACTACCACTGTAAAGGAGCATGTTACTGACCACTGATGTAAAGGGGCACTTGACTGACTACAAATGTAAATTTCACTGTTCATTTTTTTTTCTAGCTTTCATTATTGTTTAGGTAATTGAATTAATATTACTGAAAATAACTGACATACAATGTGGGTGTCAAATAGGGTTGCCACCTCATCTCTTTAAAACCAAACACATATTAAGTACACAGGTTCTGAGGCTAATTTAATGCAGATAAAGCACTGGGTGAGTTTAATTACCACCTTAATCATCCACAGAACCTATGTAATTAATATGTGTTCGGTTTTAAAGGGGTGAGGTGGCAGCCCTAATGTCAAATGTGCTAAGTTTGCCAAAGTCCTTATTTTTTATTTATTCTTATATTTCATCCTACTATTCATGCTAATGTACCATGAGATGTAGATATAGTAATTATTAGTAGGGGATCCCTGAGACCTAAAACGTTATTTCAAAGGGTTCAGTTATGTTAAAAAGGTTGAAAAAGTCGGTATAACACTTCATTTTCCAGTTTTGCATTTGGAAGATAGGATTTACACTGCCTCCTGCTGGTAAAGTTGTGTGGCTGTTAGTAAAAAAAGTATGTTATCCTAAAGGCTAGCCTAGTTTTATTGTATAGCCATGTTGAAAAATCCAATGTTAACCAAATACAGGTTTTTTTAGTTGTGACAGTGGAGTCCCATAACTTAGTAAAAGCACAGTATTGCAGGATGACTGCTGGAAAGATCATGCACATTGTAGCTAGCATCTAATGCTCCTCTATGTGCTATGTATTCAAAGTGATTATAATTCATCTGAGAGTATTATGGCTTAACCCCTTGATACTGACGTAATGCAAATATGTGGCTTCACTAAACTAGGCTTTTTGCCGTGGGGCCGAATATTTGTGTATCTCCCTTTGTGCTGGGAGCATGCCACATAGCGTGCTCCCAGCATCGAGACCAGGGTCTCACCGAGAGCCCCGTGTCCCGCACTAATGATCTGGACCCAGAGCTCCAAATTCTGGGTTATCTGATCACTGTGATAGCTTCTGATTAGCTATCACAGTGATCAGTCACTGTGAAACACGCCCCGTTTTCTCTAAATGTACAGAGATACATTGTATCTCTCTCCTTACAGAGAGGGGGAAAAAACACCAGTGTGTTAAAAAATAAAATAAAGAAAAAATACCTAGATCAAGGTTTGATCTAGGTCAGTGCCAGGGTTAGCGTTTGGCCAAAGGTCAGGGTCAATATATTTTGGGCAGGATTTTTTTTATAATTAGTATCAGTGTCAGTTAGTGTCAGTGTGTTTTAGGTAGTACAAACACACTAGGCGGTACTACTGGTACAAACAACAAATAGCATACACAGATCTGGTATTGCTGCGATCATCAGGAGCAGAATTTATTTTGGGTAGTTCTTTGGTGGTAGGTTATGGTAGTAACAAGAAATATACAGCTAAAATTTAAAAAAATATATATTTTTTTCTATTTTGGGCCAGTTTTCCTTCGATAGTAAAAAAAACAATCAGGAGATATCCATAACCATTTACCACCAAATGAAAGCCTAATTTGCCAGAAAAAAAAAAACATGATATAATTCATCTGGATGCACAAAGTAGTTGTGATGATATGTATGCTTTTACTAGCACATGTCACAGTTTCAAAATTGTGCTTAGGCATTTAGATTTGTTTTACCCTTAGGCATGAAGAGGTTAAAGGGAAACTCCAGGTTAAAGGGGAACTTCATACACTATCTATACTGCTTGCTTAGTCTTGAGGGGACTTACTAGAGTGAGTGTTACAATCCACCTGGCGGTACCTCTGGCAGTCCACCGGACAGGATTTCCCAGAGCGTGGAGTCCTAGTCCTAGTCTACTTGTTCACCAGGGCCCCTGATGGTGGGGATGGACTTGGAGCAGACCAGGACCAGGTCACGACCTCTGGGTACTCCTACCCGTGGCAGAGAGGGGTCCGCCGGGGATCTGTACAGGGGGAGAGCCTGATGTGAAGGGGCCAACAGACCTGAGCGGTGTGGATGGATGGATGGACGGATGGATGTTTCGTAGTCAGACAGGCCAGGTCGTTACCGTGGGAGCAGCGAGGTACAGGACGGCAGGCAGAGGAGAGTCGGGTCACACGCAGGGTCAATACCAGAGTTGTTAATCCAAAGGGAGATCCAAGAGAGAGGTCAGGATAGGAGAAGGCAGCAAGTCAAGGAAATCCGGGTCAGCAATCAGGCAGTACACACAGGAATCAGAGCAAGGGAACACAGGGAGACCTAACGGCAATCAGTGACAGCGCAGGGCATCTTTAAATACCGCGCGCCCCGCGCTGTCATTGGTGCCCAGCGTCTAGTGCGCATGCGCGAGCTTCCTTCTGCCGCGGTTGGACCTAGTGCCCGTATCCCGGTGAGAGCCGGCAAAACTGCGCATGCGCCGGATCAGATGCCGCGGCGGACCCTGACAGGGAGCTACTTAACTTACTGCATGGTTCCACAGACTCCCTCCAACAGGGTCAACTTAATAGCATCATGGGCCCCTGGGCAAAGTAATGCACTGGGGCCCCTACCAGGAAGATAGCAACCTGCAGCATGCTTAGCACACCGAGGCAAAATGTGGGTATGGCAGGTGGAGGGAGGTTAATGTTCACTGCAATGACCACAAATGCAGGGGAAGGATGATGATTTCACTACCATGATTACCATTGCAGGTGGAGGGGTTAATTTTCATCACCACTCACCACCAATGCAGGGGGGTCATTGGCAATGAAAGCTAACCCCCCATCCCCCACATGTAGTAGTGGTCATGATAGTGAAAGTGAACCTCCATCCCCCACTCCTGCATGGTAATGGCAATGAATGTTAACTCTTTCCTCAGCCACAGCCCTCTCTCCCATTGTAATCACCTACAGTACATGATCACAGGCTCCCACGCCCCTCTCTCCTGGCCAGGACTTTGCTTGTTCTGGGGCATAGAAAATTCTGCCCACAGTGTAGTCTTCCTTTCTGTTCCAGGTGCTGGATCACAGAGTTCCAACACCCAGCACCTCCCTGCCACTTGGTGTTGAGTACCATACAGTATTGCAGATGTCCCCAGGGCTCCAGTCCTGGGACATAGGTTGGGACAAAGCAGCTGCAGGATGGCTCATTAAAAAACAGGACAGTTGCAAACTATGTCATGGGCCCCCATACACATGGGGCCCCTGGACAGTGCCCAGGGGTACCTGTGCACAAGACACCTCTGCCCTCCAAGCTGACCCACTGGTCCCCTGAAGCCGCTCCTTTACATCAGTTATGCAGCCATCACCTCACCAACATCATCTTGTATGAGATGATGTTAATGGCTCTGTAGTCCACAGCAAAACTCTGTAGTCCACAACAAATACTGCAAGTAATTAATTCAACATCATATGTACCCTAAATCTTAAAAACCTGTTCAAATCATTAAGATGTATAACCTTACCATGAAACCACCACAGTCTGCTTCCCACCCCCCTCCTGCTGAAGCTGTTGGCTTCTTAGACCCATCCTGGTGTCTTCTTCTTGCATGCATTCTTCCACTCAGCACAGGCATCTGTAACAAATCTTACGCATGCGCTATAAAACAGGGCCAAGCCTCACATTTACCTACTGTTGCTAAGGTGCTGCTGGGGGCACTTTAAGGATTGGCTGAAAACCCAGTGATATCACTAGTCACATGGGAAAGCTGACAACCAACAGGCCAGGTGCCAATACCAGAGGAGGGAGAGTGTGATGTTATCCTGGCAAGGTGCTCTGTGGATCTCAGCATGGAGAACATGTCATGAATTCAGCAGAGACTGTAAGAAACAGTATATTGACCTATCAGGCTACCAAATCATCACAACCGAGACTGAAGCCCTCCAGCTAAACATGTACCATTTTATGACTCTCCATTTAAAAAACTGCTATTTCTATTCCTGGAAGATTTGGATTTGAGAGTCCAGCTCACACTGAATTACCATTCCCTTTATGTCGGAAATGTTCCACCTCTCTTTAAGGAAATATCCCAGACCATATGAAAACGGAAATATTTACCCTTATCACTACTCTTAGACCATATAGCTGAAAATGGCCATTCCCCTAACCTTATGTGTCCCAAATGGGATCTTAAAGAAACAATATTTTTTTTTGTTAGATTTGAAACACTCTGAAATTTAAAATGTTATTGGCTTTTTCAGCTCAGTTCAATTTGCACTATAAAACCAAGGTACTTAAATACCAAATACAATACAACATCAGACTTATGCACATTGGCATATTGGTCAACCTTCTATACTTACAGCAAGTAGATGAAGTTGAAGAAGCTTGTAAGCAGGTGCAGTTGGCTACACTGCCACTAGGTGGCTCTGTACCAAAATAGTGGGTGGTAACAGGGAATAGTGTAACTGGGTGTAGGGCCCCTTTTAGACAAAGCCTTCCAGCAGTGATGTTTTAGAAGTAGTCATTGCCCATTTAAAAGGCATGAGAGTTGAACACCTCACCAGCATGCAGATGGAGTTAACTAATGCAGAGGACCTGGAAAAAGCAGAGATGAGATAGCCCTACACCCAGAAGAGCCAGCTGTACTCATTCTGACTCTTTATGGTTGTTAGAGGCTAAGAGCAGGATGCAAATGGCCTTTTAGGGCAGGCCAAGGGTTCTCTGTTTTGAGTGCTGTCCCCCTGGAGGTCCTGGGTGAAGTGTACAGAAACTAGAGGAGCAGCTGCAGCAGTCTGGTCTCTGGAACGACATGCAGGGAGTGGTGAGCTGGCTTCATAGACCCTAATGTCAAGACAGAGCCCTCTGAGTGAGTAA